CTGGTGAGCAGATATAACACGGAAATACATTGGCGATGAAAAGCGATACAGGTGGACAGACGAAAGAGCACACATGCACACACATTCATTGACAGTTCATCTAGTGAGTTTACTAAATTAGTTGGCTGGCTGAATAGCTCAGGGTCACTCGGAAGATTTTAGACCCCCCCCCCCCCCCAAAAAAAAAAAAAAAACCCAACAAAAACAAACAACAAAATATATATATATAAAAAATAATTTAAAAATAAATAAATAAATAAAATAATAAAATAATAAAATAAAATAAAAACAACAATAAAGCAACAACAAACCAATCTTGATAAAGTTATCGTCGAATTAGCTTTAACAATGACTAAATTTTTCTAAATGGTCGTTTTTCGCATCTATTACATTAAGACAATGATATGTCACCGGATGGTGTAGAAGATTCACTGCTGAGCTCATATTGTTTAGGTAGCGAGGTAGGTTGAAAACTGAAGAAAACGGAGAAGCACAGCGGATGCGTAAAATAAAAACTTGGCGGAAAGGAATACAATGTACGTGTAATTGTTTCCCAGCCGGAGTCCTTCATCTTTCTATTTCATTATACACATGTTTACGTTTTACGATATACTAGACATAAATAACCATTTCGAAGAGCCGACCCAGTTAGAGAGGGATACAACACCCCCACAGAAAGAGTCTAAATGAGAAAAACTAGATAAAGATTATCCCAATTCGGGAATCGAACTCTGGTATCCTGCGAGCGAATCCAAAGTACAAATGTACCTGACCGCTGTATCGCAGACGCATGGAGACATAATCAGAAAACCAAGTAATTCTGAATAAAAAAAATGCCACCCTTGCCATAGCCTACGCCCGTGCCATTATATTATTATTCCGTCGTGTTCTATGAATGGCACGTCACCTGTGTGCAGTCGCACCCTCATGCTGATGGGACAGAAATCTATTCTGTGTCCATCCGAGGCAGAGGAAGAGGAAAAAAGACCAAAAAAAGTAAGGAGGGTCTGCGAATCGAATGAATCGATAGTGAAGCATCAATCAAACAGTAATCTCCCCCTGCTTGAGGACGTTGTCTGGACAAAGAGCCAAGGAGAGGTTAGTGACTACAGCGTGCTTGTAAACCGCTTAGTTCTGTTTTCTACACTGCCTCCGACACATCTTGGGCTCCGTGTGTGTGTGTGTGTGTGTGTGTGTGTGTATGTGCGAGTGTGTTTGTGTGTGTTTGTGTGTGTGTGTGTGTGTGTGTGTGTGTGTGTGTGTGTGTGTGTGTGTGTGAGAGAGAGAGAGAGAGGGGGGGGGGGACCGAGAGGGATCGAGAGAAAGAGAAAGAGAAAAAGGGAGAAAGAAAAAGAAAGAGGGAGAGAGGAGAGAGAGAATGTGTGTTTGTGTGTATGTATGTATGTGTTAAGTACCCCCCCCCCCCCCCCAGATGGAAGCAATAGATCTAATAATATTCTATCTCACGTAATACCCATTTCTGTCATATTTTTTTTTTTTTTTTTGGGGGGGGGTCTCACTTTTGAGAGCTTGAGTGTTTCAACCGATTTCCCCCACCCTTCTCCTACTTTGGTTCGGGAGATACAGTATTCGATTCGGACTCACTTTTTTCTGCGAGAGACTTGTTCACGCTTGCCCGTACCTAATCTAAATGATATTGGCAGGGTCGGAAAACGTTCATCAACTTAAATTAGTATTTTATTTGTCTAGATTGTGCAAGCAAAAACCAACGAGGAGAAACGTAGCCAGGTCATCGACATGACCAGAGATAAATATTGACATCAGACCCAAACGTCACCGGAGAGCCTTCAGATCAGACCCTGTCACAGCTGTCATCGGATAGCACAATACGAACATTCTTTTTTTTTCTTTCTTTTTTTTTTTACCACTCTTTCCTGCGCAAATCGACCACTAGAATGACTGTTTTCTCCCCCCGATAAGGGGGTGTTGGTGACAGAAGGGTTCTCTGTGTCGCTCGTGTTCAGCTCTGTGTTCGTTTGTGTGGTTCCTTGTCAACAGATGGCCGTAGAACAGAACGGAGGGAGCCTCAACATTATTATAGAATGACATGTCAATTCTGTAAGATTTATTCATTTATTTAATCCCCTACTAATTCCTCTTTTCATAAAAAACAGAGTTTTTAAAACATAGACATAAATCAATTATTTTCTTCTGCGCATTGTAAACTGTCTTACGAGGTCGATAAATATTAGTATGGCGTCATTTAGCCTATCTACATTGTGGGTGTTGCACTTTGATTCGACTCCTGGGTATGTTCGTAGTGGATATAATCCAATTTAGTATTCATTTCTAGTATTAAATCTGACGCAACGAACTACTGCGTCCATAACTATTTAGCACCCATAGAATATGAAGAAAAAGAGAAACAAAACTTTTTTTAAAAACATCTTGCAGTTTTCTTTTTGTTTATCCTCTTATATGTTTGTTTACTGAGGTTTTTAATGAGGGACAGCCGTGTTCTGGTTTCAGAGCTCTTCAATAGACTTCAAGTTGTATACTTCAGAAGCGCACTTCAAAACGAAATCTCGCGAAAACTGTGAAAGCAAACGAGCGAGCATCTCGAAAGTTCTTGTCAAGCAAGGACATAAACATTGCAGGCGCAGTGAAGACCGCACTCAAGCCTGAAGTGTGCTTTATCGTAGGTGGATCAGATTTCACCTTGAGGTGACGCGTAACAATGGACGTTGCGTGCTTTCTGTCAAAGAAATTCCCTCTCAGTCACCTACTAGTGTTCTTTATTTATTCCTCTTATATATATATTTTTTTAAAAGGAATAATGGGATGGGGGAGGGCGGGGATAAATCACCCCTCCCACATCCTCCCCTTTCACTTTGCTTCCCTACGTTATAAAAAAATGTTTATTAAATAAGCTCATAAGTCTCCTTATACGGATACACTGCTTAATTATTATGTTTTCGAAAGAAAAATGTTCAAATAATTATCTATATTGTATTTGTGTGGATTTGAGGGTGGGTGGGTGT